GACCTGCGGCCCTCTGTGGCTAAGCTCCAATCCCGGTGCGAGCCCTAGCAGAGGAGGTGGCTATCTAAGGCGGCCCGGACTATTCTCATCAACTCTTCCCTCTCCAGCCTCCTCTTGTTTCTGATGAGTTTCTACAGCCTTCATGAATCTCTCCACAAGGAGATCGCCAAGATTCAGTCCCGCTTCTACTGGGCTGGCGAGCATGACAAGCATAAGTACCACATGGTCAGCTGGCCCGACATTTGCAAGCCCAGGGAGCAAGGTGACCTGGGCATCATGTGCTCTAAAAGGATGAATATTGCCCTTCTCTCCCGTTGGCTTTGGCGCATCGCGCAAGGTCAAGGTGGCCTCTGGCTCGACATTATTCGGAATAAATACCTGCGTGGACAACCCCTAGCCTTCTGCCAGAAATCGGGCGGCTCTCAGTTCTGGCAGTCTATTGTCCAGCTTCTCCCGGTGCTCCGCATTGGAACCTCCATCTCGGTGGGGTCCGGTCTCTCGACGCTCTTCTGGTTTGATCGCTGGGCCGGAGACTCTCCCTTCACGGCCCGCTTCCCCGCCCTCTTCTCTATCTCCGTCGACCCCATGATTTCTGTTGATAGGGCCCTTCTTGACTTAGGGCGCCTCGCTTTCCGTCGGCCTTTTGGGCTGGCGGAATCCGCCGCCTAGCGTGAGTTGCTTGATTGCATTGCTCTGCATGAGCCGTTAGTGGATGGGGGTCCAGACCTTGTGCGCTGGCGTCTGGAGCCGTCGGGGCAGTTCTCCACCAAGTCGATGTACCTGGCCATTGCCCCTTCCTCCGCCCCCTCCCCCTCTCGATGGTGTGGTCCGTCCGCGTTCCCCTGAAGATTCGCATCTTCATGTGGCAGTGGATTCGCGGTCGGGTCCCGTCTGGAGTGGAGGTCTGCAAGCGCAATGGCCCGGGTACTGGTATCTGCCCGCTCTGTGGTGTCCCTGAAGACTCGAACCACATCTTCTTCTCCTGCGTCTCCGCCCAGTTCCTCTGGAGCTGCTTTCGCGAGGTGGTTGGTGGAAGTTGGTGCCACACCAATTTCCCGGACTTATTTGCTGAACTCCAGTTGTCCCCCGCGACCTCTCGCCACATTAGGTGGCTTGAGGTTGGGGTTCTCGCTTGGACTCTATGGACCGTTCGCAATAAGCTTGTGATTCAGCGTACTCCCCTTCGTCGCGCTACTGACGCTCTCTTCAAACTCTCAGGTTTCTTGCAGCTTTGGCGGCCGCTTAGCCGCTCCCCGAACCGTGACGCCATCTCAGCCTTCATCGCCGACCTCCGTTCGATGGCCGTCCGCCTGTCGCCGCCGCCTCCGCCGCCCCCGCCGGATCCAGATTAGGCTCCCTGCGTCTGGAGTGTGTTGTTTTCTCTTTTTTTTGGGCTTGTTGAGCTGTGCCCTCAGCAGAACCTGTATACTGTGCCGTGAGACTTGGGTGGGTGTGTGTGGACTTGATTCTGTTTGTATGCTCTGTGGCGGTTTGCTTTATTTATAAAGCGGGGCGAAAGCCTTTTTCGGTAATATGCAACACTTTAATGGCTGGAAACAAGTCCCTCCATCGCTCATCAGCACATGCTCTATCAAGTCGCACCTTGGTATTGTTATTTCCATATTGCCCATTGTCATATGTAAATGGCATTCCAGAAAAACCAAGATCCTCTAGTTCACAAAGCTGTAAACAATCTCTAAAAAGAGCCATTTGTCCTTCTGGCCTTGTAGATCTCGAAAGATGCTCATGCTGCCAAAGGACTTCATTAAAGTCACCACAAACAAGCCAAGGATCTTGCGAAACAGACCTTAATCTCGTTAGGTGATCCCACATGTAATGACGATTCTCCACACGTGGCTCCCCATAAACAAAAGTTGCTCTCCATGTCTTGTCCATGCTATTATCCACTATCATAACATCTATATATCTAGGACAAGAGTCCAGCACTGTAACCTGAAGTTTTTCATCCCAATATAGGGCTAGGCCCCCGCTCATACCACTACAGTTAACACCACTGAAACCTCTTAGACCAAACCTCCACTTTAACTTCTCCATCTTATTTGCAGCCTGCCTAGTCTCAAAAGGAAAGACAAGCTGGGGTACGTTGGTTTTTGAGAGAGCCAACACCTCTCGAACTGTCCGACGGTTCCCCCCACCACGGCAGTTCCAGACGAGTAGATTCTTTGCGTCCGGCAGTCCTCCTCGAGGGAGGCCGCCCATATCTCATTTATTGCAACAACTTTATCCATCTTAGGTCGCTTACTACTCGTACTACTGTCCGGGGAAATAAGTTCAGGCAAGTCATCACCTTTACCTTCCGTTAGAGCAAGCAAACCAAATGTACTAGGCCCAGCAGCCGGATCAACAAGAATATCCTCTGTACTAAAACGTTTCTTGCCACTTCTATCAATCTCCATGTCCTCTTGTACTGATTTGACCGGACTGCATGCAGTATGTGCAACCGCTGGTACAACCTTTGCATTAGCCACTCCTGCATTAACCTGCACAACTTAACATGGAGAGTCGCCCCTGACGGCGTATCAGTAGCCCGTGCATTCAGATTTTCAGACCGCTGTTTATTAGGAGCATCAGCGTACAACCAGTCCCCATATTTCATGCGTTTAGCATCATGAATACCTGTGCCACATTCCTTGAATTCATGTCCCACTAGACCACAGACTTTGCAAAATCTTGCGAGTTTCTCGTACCTAACCAGGTACACTTGTCTCTCCTTCCCACGAACAATACTCACAAATTTTGTTAAGGGCTGACGAATATCATGTCTAACCCGTACACGAACGTAATCACCTCTGGTATTGCCATTAAGGCGCATGTCCAGAATTTCGCCAGACTCTTTGAGCAGCCTAACAACGACCTCCTTCTTGCAATAGCCTTCAGGTAACTTGTGAATCTGTAGCCAAATCGGCATAAACACATTGCTGACATCCTCAGTCTTGCTGAAGCCATCGTATGGGCATAACAGGACCGCCATATTCCGGAACAGCCATGGTCCTTGATCAATCATACGTTCCCAGTCCCCCAAACACGATGCCTGGACGACAAACATGTTCGGTCCTACTGGTCGAAATCTGATATCCTTTGCTGGATTCCATGCTGCTCGCATGTCTTTGTAGAAAGCAGATTGGCTGAAGGGCTTCTCAGTATGAACCCTAGGAAGGGCCAGCCAACGAACGCCGTCGTTTATCACGGGATCATCCATATCGGTCTCCACATCATGAAACTCTTCGTCGTTTAGATCAAGCTGATCAAAAAAATCATCAAGATTCATCTTCCCGGCGGCCACACCTCCGCCGTTGGTCTCGTACTGAGCATCCGATGGAGAAGCCATGGCTTCAGGTCGCTGGGAACCTTCTGTCGAAGGGAAGGAGAAAACCCTAGGCGGGGAAAGACTTGATCGGGGGTAAACTCGCGAGTGACTCAGAATCGCCCGAGAGGAGACTTAACCCTAGCCGCAGCGTAGGGGATAATTGGAGACCGAAACTGATTCTTACCAAAAGAACACGCCACCTTCCGCATGTTAGCCATGCCGCAATCACCGAGCTATCATGAACCCACTGTTGTCGTGCCCTTCACCCACATTATAATAGCACGGACCTGTTATGAACTTATGATGCATGGACAGAGGCAGCGTGTCTAGGTGTGGTCAACCTGAGTGGGTGTTCTGTTGACTAACGATTTTGTTTGTGGATTTTATCACTGAATTGATGTCCAGCATACAATTGATAGGGTAAGCGACGTAGAGGTGTTCCTCACAACGACGAGGTCTTCTGGGGGCCGGCTGCCGGCCTCCCCGGTGCAGGCGCCGCCGCCATGGAAGCAGAGCGCCTCATGGAGGATGCCACTGTGCCGACGTTGGCCCTGGGCCCCTGGCCACTATCGGTGATTACCTTCCAGTCGCGCAAAATTTGATTGACTGCAATTTTTCCCTAGGTGTTATCTTTTCAGTTTTTATGTGGACCAAGATTTAACCAAACTTAGATTACTGATGTATTACACTCATTACATCACGTGTTCGGTTTAACTATATCAAATAAATATTACTGGGATCTTTTATAGAAGTCTCAACTTTACATGTATTTGTTGTTTTCCTTTTATTTGATTATTATGGAAAAAATAGTGGTATAAGAATTACAACTTTGTCATTCTAAATTCTGAAAAATATGGTCCTATAGTAATGAGATCTCCTTGCCATTGTTAATTTGAATCTAGCTTGCAGCGTTCTAATCTGACATATGTATAATTAAATCTTCCTATCCTCCATCGGTTCATTCTTTTCGTATTCAGTCAGATTTCAAATTTTCAATAGCTTCCTTTTTCTGTTGCAGATTAAGCAGGAAGAACCCATTCTCGCAAAGAATACTGTGTACTCTGGATTGTCTGGTAATAATCCATTGTAATGGATCTTTGTGCACATATTGTACTATTGTGCAATGTAGTGGCACAACTAAGTTGCTCCCAAGGTATGATTTTGTTCTTCATGGTTTTTCACTAACAAAAATTCAAGAGCAATATGATCTTCAAATTTCTTCAATTAATTTAAAAGTAAGGCATATGTTGTCAGCAAGCACTTCAATTATCACATGATATTTCAATTCACTTTGCATCAATTGAGAAGCATAAGTCCCGCTGCAATGCGCGGGGTACCATCTAGTTCTCCCAGTTCCCCACCCAGATAAATCTAAACTGTAACAATACATAATAACACATAATAGCTATGTCAAACTTATATTAGACAAATGGTACATCCCATAAGCATTTCCATGACATGAACAAAGAAATACACGACTATAATGGAAATTGCTTAATCCAGGACAATGGTGTAATATTCAGGATGCTATGAAAAGTTCTTATTAGTATACTGAAGTTTAATAATTTACATCTCAAAGATGTCAAAATGGTGAAAAAGGGGAAAAGAAATGATGTATAAACCGAACCAATGTGTTGCCTCTAGCCGCTATACATACCAGCGCTAAAATAGCTCAACATAAGGTGTACTCGCAATCAAGCAAACGGGTCAGGATCTCCTGGCAGCTTGGTCGCTTCTCCGGTTCTGTCCAGCAATCTACCAAACAAAATTGCAACATGCTTCACACGGTCAACATCAAGTTCTTGACCGGAGCTTAGGTATCACTGAATTTTATATGTTTGCATATATTTCAAAAATAAGCAGATTTGGCAAATAGATGTATGCAAGTTGCCAACACATACCATTTGAATAATAGCACAGCAACTATTTTGTGTAACTAGGATTCCACCGCGGGACAAGTATAACTATATCTACAATTGTACGTAGTGCACCAGTATGGACCAATAACAGCCACTGGAATTTCAATCAGACGGTTCACAGTTGGGAGCAACTGGAACAGTTGGATCTATGTATTGTCAGGCTCTAACTAACTGACGAACACAAACACATGGAATTTCAGAGGAATTCTTGCTTGATTTCAGAGGAAACTCGCTAGGGTTCTTACAAGAAGAGGAAAGTAGGCCAACCACTCCAGTGGCGGCTAGGGTTACAACCCAGTTTACATTCGATGCCTCTCCCGATGGGATCTGAGGTCTTTATAAAGAGGAAAAGTTTACTGAAGGTAAAAGCAGCCTGACAGCGACATGAACAGGTACAGTAAGTGTGCACGCTACAGTGATTGGATCATAGCCGACGGATGGAGATCGGACGATGCTCAGATGACGGCTTAAGTAACTGTGTACCGCTTCATGACTACACTCCATCCACGCGATGAGGATATGACGGTCTACGGCTGTTGTCGGACGATGAACAGGTACAGGAGATTCAGAGAGCAGAGGAGGGCCTGACAATACCCCCGTGTGAAGATCAGACTTGTCCTCAAGGCTGGAAATCTGGGAAGATTTTCTGGATAAATGCAGAATCGTCCCAGCTAGCTTCTTCTACAGGTAAATTGAGCCATTTCACCAACCATCTGACCACAGGAATAGAGATATCACCTTGAGGTCGAGGAATTAATTTTCTGTCTAGGATAGCTTCAGGTTGGAGTAGTATCTGCCCTTGTTCAGTCACCGATGGCAGGTGGGGGTGGGAACCCAATGTGTTGCTTGAGCTGACTCACATGGAATGTGTTATGAAGCTTGCACCCTTCAGGCAGAACTGATAAGCATGATTACCCACTCTTTTGAGAATTCTGAAAGGCCCATAGTACTTGGGAGTGTAGTTTCAAATGTCTATGGATACTGAGAGAGGTATGTCTGTATGGGCGGATCTTGAGATACACCATATCACCTTCCTGGAAGATCCTTTCTTTTCTCTTTTTGTCAACAAAGTGTTTCATTCTTTCTTGTGCTTTCTGCAAATTTTGCTTGGTGAGCTAGGTCCTTGTTGAGCAGCAAGTCAGGTGAGTCCACTACACAGAAAATCAGGCAGACTCGATTCAGCAACCATGGGGGGTGGGAAACCATATAGAACCTGAAAAGGAGTCATTTTCAGAGAGGTGTGGAAAGTGGTTTTATACTACCATTCAGCTAGTGCCAGCCAGGAGTGCCACTTAGTAGGCTGTTGGAAAGCCATGCACCGAGGTAATTTTCCAAGCATTGGTTAACCCTTTCTGTCTGCCCATCAGACTGGGGATGGTATGAAGTACTCATGTGAAGCTTGATGCCCAGTGTTTTGAAAAGTTTCTGCCAGGGGTTACTGGTGAAAATTGTCCCTGTCAGTTACAATAACACTGGGGAGGCCATGGAGTTTGAATATGTGGTCTGAAAACTGTCTGGCAACGAGTAAATTGCAGAAAACAACCAGTTTGAAAGTTAGGTTTGTGAAAAACACTACAATACATTTTTTTTTTGCAGAAAACACCATGTCTTCAGTAATCTTTTTGCAAATAACACTGATCGGCGGATTTGGCTCCACTGAGCACGCTTATGACAGTTGGGGCCCTTTTTTGCCTACATGGCGTAACATTTCGTGCCAGATCACTTCTATTCTGAATTTACAAAGTAGCCCTTAGTTTTTACATAGAAACCCCTGAATCAAAAAGAAAACATGCAATTAGCTCGCTCCCTTCAATCCCCATCTCTCCCGCCAGATCCTCCGCCCGGCGCCGACACACAGGAGGCTGGGCAGCCGCTCCCTCGCCTAAGACACCGCATCTTCCTCTCTCCTTCTCTGTCCTCGGTGGCCGCGGAGCGCAGCCTCCTCTCTCCATCTCCCTCCTCGGAGCGCGGCGGCCGCGGGCAGAGCAGGGTGGCGGCGGCGCGGCTGGCAGGCGGCGGGCGCGGGCGGAGCAGGGCGGCAGCGGCGCGGCTGGCAAAGCGGCGGCAAGCGCGGGCGGAGTAGGGCGGCGGTGGCACGGCTGGCATAGCGACGGGCGCGGCTGGGCAAAGGCGGGAGCGCTGCAGGGCAGGGAGGTGAGCACGGCGGCGGCTGGCGCATGGTGGTGACCGGCGCCATCGAGGCCGAGGAAGGCGGCGGCCGGCATGCAGTTCGCCGGCTTTGTCTTCTCCCTGGCAGCCCTCACCCAGAGGAGGGAGGTGGAGGCGCTGGGAGGAGGGTTGAGAGAGAGAGAGAGAGGAGGGCAGACGAGGTCGAGGGTTGGAGCTCCGGCGGGCTGCTATGTGCGACGGCGCGCGGGATGGGGAGCTTCTCTCCTCTGGCGGCTGACTGTGATGGCAAGACAGGGCAAGGGCCTGGGCAGCACAGGGGGAAAACTTGCGGGTGTTTTCGCTTTTTTACCCGTCTAGCGTTGTCTTTGGTAAAAATGTTATGCCATGTTAGCGAAAAATGGGACCCATCTGTCATAACCTCACTTAACAGAGCAAGATCCGTCGATCGGTGGTTTTTGCAAAAAGATTACCCAAGACGTGGTTTTCTGCAAAAAAAATGTAACGTAGTGTTTTCTGCAAACCTAGCCTTCAAAGTGGTGGTTTCCTGCAATTTACTCGTCTGGCAACAGATTGAACAGTGATAGGGTGCTTCATAGAGAGGAAATGGGCATAGGTGAACCTGTCAACAACCACCTGTATAAGGTTTTTGTTTTCAAACATTGGCAGACCTTCCACAAAGTCCATGCTTATGTGGCACCAGGCAAAGTCAGGAATTGGCAAGGGCTGTAAAAGGCCAGAATATGGGGTATTTTCAGATTTATTGAGCTGGCAAACAGGGCATGCTTTAACATATGCAATCACATCTTGTTGCAGGCCAGACCAGTGACATAGCAAGTGTATTCTCTGGTAAGTTGCTCTTTCTCCCGAGTGTCCTCCAAGTTCAGACTTATGGAATGTCTAGATTAAATCCTATCTGAGGGAAAGTGTTGTTGCCAATCACAATTTCGTTCTTAAATCTGAGGATGCCATGTTGGAATGTGTAATTAGGATGAGCTTGGGGATCAAGTGCCAGCTCAGTAATGATGGCCTTGTACTTGGGCTCCACGGAATAAGATTTGACAACTTCAGTGATCCACAAGGGAACAACAGAACTAGCAGCTAAAGAGCTCAAGCAGTGTCTCACTCTAGAGAGTGCATCAGCTGCTCTGTTTTCTCTTCCCTTGTACTCAATTGTGTAGTTGTAGCCCAGGAGTTTGACCAGTAACTTGTGTTGGATGCCTTGTGTAAGTTTCTGCTCATGGATTTATTTGAGACTCTGTTGGTCTGTTCTGATGATCAGGTAAGAGCTGGCAAAATAATGTTTCCATTCTTTTAAAGCTTCCATAATTGCCATAGTTTCCTTGTAATAAGTGCTCATGGTCTGGGCTTTAGGGCCAAGAGATTTGCTCATATAAGCAATGGGCCTTCCTTCCTGCATGAGGACAGCACCTAAACCATAGCCACTAGCATCTGCTTCCAAGATGAAAGGCTTGGAAAAGTTAGGGAGGGCCAAGACAGGGGCATCTGTGAGTCTAAGTTTAAGGTCCTGGAATGCTTGTTCTTGAGTGGTAGACCAGTGAAAGTTGCCCTTTGTTAGAGCATCAAAGAGAGGCCTGCCCACAACTCCATAACCCTGTATAAACCTCCTGTACTAGCCTGCAAGCCCTAAAAATCCCCTGAGTTCAGTGATGTTGGTAGGAGCAGGCCAGTTAGTGACGGCCTCAATCTTAGCAGGATCTGTTGCTAAACCTTCAGCAGTGATGATGTTGCTAAACCTTCATCAATAAGGACTGGAACTGTGTTGGATGATGTGTCTCAGCATCATGTTGCTGATAATTTCTTCCAGGGCATCTTTTTGGTGGTGTGGAAGTCTGTAAGCTCTTTGGTTGATGATTTTAGCATATGGGGTCAGGGGAATGGCATGATCGCAGAATCTAGCAGGAGGTAGTGTTGTTGGCTCTTGAAATAAGTCCCCATTTTCATTCAATATGTCCTGTATGGCACGAGGGCAGCTGGTAGGTAGTTCTTTGCTTTTTTCCAGGACGGGGGAAACCAGCAGGAGTAGTCCACAATCAGGTTGATCTACTAGTCTTGTGAAATTGAGAACTTCAGGTACTTGTGCAGCAGTTGGTTTGTTTCATCATGGAATAAAACCTGAGCTCCATTAGTATCAGTGATCTTCATTGTCATGAGAATGAAGTTCATCTCTACAGGACTCTATTTCTTGAGCCAATCAGTGCCAAGTATAATGTCACAGCCTTTTAGTTGCAGAATCCTAAAATCACCAGTGAAATCATTTCCCTGGATGGAGTAGGAGCAGGACTTGCACATAAATTGTGTCCACAAAGTTCCACCATTTGCAACTTGTACTTTCAATCTCTTAGTTGCTACAGTAGGGACAGATATTTTGTCAGAAAGAGCAGGAGACATGAAAGTGGATGTACTTCCACTGTCATTGAAGGCTGTTGCACTGGCAGATGATCCTATCTGCAGATTCACAATGAAGGTATTGCTAGTAGCAGCAATTCCCATAAGAGTATGCATGGATATTTTCAGTTCTTCTTCTCCTTGCAAGGCTTGGAATTCAGCCAGATCTTCATCACTTTCAATGATGCAAACAATCTCAGGTGGTTCCTCAGTTTGTGCTTGGATCTGATTTTTCTGGCTGAGTTTACAAACTTGTCTATGTCCAGGTACCCAGGGTTCTTTGCACCTGAAGCAAATTCC